TGCTACCCTTAGATGTCATCTATGTAATATAAGCATCGTAAAATATAAAACAAAAATATCCGACATATTATAAAAAAATATAAAGTAATTCTTTTACATATTAAATGATTAAAGAAATAACATAAAAACCGGCCAATATGTCATAAAACATAAAGTAATTTCAACTGGCCTTGGGCGCGTGATAGCTTAAATAAATAGCCACATCAGATATGCCAAACGGTAAAAAAATGTAAATTACTATTTCACTTTTTAACTTTCATTTCCGATTGATAATTTCATCATATTCTACTCCCTTCGTTCACTTTTATTTGCCATGTATACTAAAAATAAATTTTTATTTTTACTTGTCACTTTACTTTTACGCATATCAAGAGAAGACAAATATTTTTTTCCTGTTATACCCATAGTATTTATTACTCATTTCAAATCATTTTCTCAAATCCAATAAAATATGCATCAATTAATATGGGTATTATGGTAAATTATGCACTTCATTTATTATTTTTTAAGGGACGTGTAAAGTCAAAACATTGACAAGTAAAAGTGAACGGAGGGACTACCTATTTATTCTCTCTTTCCTCCATTAAATTGAAGATTCTGCTCCCATATCTATTTCAATCCTTTCCTCTTTCTTGGTCCTCTCTTTAGTAAATACTCCCTCCGTTCTAATTTATGTGAACCTGTTTGATCTGGTACGGAGTTTAAGAAAAAATGAAGACTTTTGCAATTTGTGGTCCTAAAAAAATCAAAAAGGGGCCCAGAGTATTTGTGTGGTTATAAAAGCTTTTCATTAAGAGTAGAATTTTAAGTTTAAGCTAAATTTTTACCAAATTTAGAAAGGGTTCATTCTTTTTGGAACGGACCGAAAAGGAAATAGGTTCACATAAACTGGAACAGAGGGAGTAACAGTTTTTATTCATTTTCTTGGTCTCGTTTCCATTTCCCGTCATGACAATAAAGAATATTGAATATTTTTATTGTGTTTTAACTTGATATATACTTTAATGCTATTTTTGGCCATGACGTTTGATTTCAACAGATGAAAAGTGAACAGATTTGGGTGTTTCTAGCAATATGTATGCCATCTTCTTGTGTTTGTAGTTTATATGTATTATGATGAAGATCGGATATTAGCTAGATTGAAAAGAGAGAAGAGAAATGAACGAGAATGTTATAGAACAAAGGCTCCATTGGAGAGCAAGAGCCGGAATAATATTCTCTCTAATCTAACTGAATACAATGACATGTGTCTAATATATATACACTACAATTAACAGCTAGTCTAATCAATCTTACTACTTCTGCTAATTCACTAACAACCAATCCCATAATTAGTTATAACTAACTTCCTAACTAACCCACTGACTCACGTGATAGTCACATGCTGCTTCTCTCTTCAATACTCCCCTCATGCTAGGTGGTGCAAATAGATTGAGCACTCCTAACTTGCTCATCAAGTACTCATGTTGTGATCTCCCCGGTGCCTTTGTGAATAGATCTGCTTCTTGATCCTTAGACATCACATACTTGGTTTTGACTATCCCTTGTTGAATCCTTTCTCTGATGAAGTGTAGGTCTCTCTATGTGCTTTGTACGCTCATAAAATATGGGATTTGCAGCAATTTGAATTGCTGCTTTGCTGTCACAGTGCAGCTCCACTAGCAGTTCAACTTCTGCACCCAATTCTTTACAAAGTCCTGTCAACCATAAGATTTCTGCAACTCCTGCTGCTAGGCTCCTGTATTCTGCCTCTGCTGAGCTTCTCGAAATTGTGCATTGTTTCTTGGATTTCCGTGACACTAATGAATCTCCCAATTTCATCACATATCCTGCTACTTATCTCCTGGAAACTGGGCATGATGCCCAATCAGCATCACAAAAGGCTATGAGCTTTGTGGACTGTTTAGAGCTCATTAGCAACCTCAGTCCTGGAGCACCTTTAATATATCTAACAACCCTGACTGCAACTTCCATGTGAGATTTCATTGGATAGTGCATGAACTGACTTAGTACATGAACTGCATAGCAGATATCTGGTCTAGTCATGGTGAGATATAGTAGCTTCCCAACTAACCTCTGATATGGTCCTGAGTCTGCCAGCTTCTCATCTTCTTTCCAGTTCATATGTTGATCATATTCCACAATGGTGAATCTCTGGTTGCATTCCATTGGTTTGGTCACTGGTTTTTGACCCTGCTAATCCAAGTTTAGCAATTAACTCCATTGCAAACTTCCTTTGATTCATCAGTATTCCTTCTTTGGACCTTGCTATCTCAATCCCAAGGAAGACCTTCAATTCCCCCAAGTCTATGATTTTGGAATTACCCTGCAGTATGGCTTTTGCCTCAGAGATCACTCCTTGATTATTCCCAGCTATGAGAAGATCATCTACATATACTAAGATGATTACTAGTTTTGTCTTGTACTTCTTTGTGAACAAAGAGTAATCAAAGTGACTCTGCACAAAACCTAAACTAAGTAGTGCCTCAGTTAGTTTTAGGTTCCATTGTCTCGAAGCTTGCTTTAGACCATACAAGAATTTATGCAGCTTGCAGACTTTCTCCCCCTGGCTGGGAAATCCCTGAGGTAAACACATACAGACCTTTTCGGTGAGGTCTCCTTGTAGAAATGCATTATAAACATCCATCTAATATATATTCCAGTTGTTTGTTGCTGCCAAAGCTAGAACTACTCTTACTGTCACCATCTTGACTACAAAAAAGAATGTTTCCTAGTAATCTAGCCCTTCTATTTGATTGTATCCTTTGGCTACTAGTCATGCCTTGTATCTTTCAATCTCCCCATTGGCTTTATACTTTATCTTGAACACCCACTTACATCCAATAGGAGTCTTCCCTGTTGGCAAGTCTACCGAGGTCTAAGTCTCATTTTCCTTGAGTGCATTCAGTTCTTGAGTCATAGCATCAATCCATTTGGGGTCTGATGTAGCTTCCTCATAGTTCACAGGTTCCTTAACGTTGGTAATCTTGGACAAATAAGACTGGTAGTTAGTTGATACTCCTGCATGGCTTAAATAGCTTTGCATTGGATACTTGCAAAGCTGCTTGCTAACTGATGTTGTTGATGAACCATTGCAGACGTAATCCTACATCCACACAGGCTCTTTAACAGTCCTAGCTGATTTTCTAAGCTGATTTTCTACAGGAGAAAATGTGTCTTGTTCTGAAAGAAGTAGTTGCTGAGTCTATATGTCTTCAAGGAGTAGGGAATGTGGTAATGAGTGTTGTGTATCAACTGCATAGTTATCTGCAACAGGTGGTGTTGCTGAGAAGCGTGTGTCATCATCTGGTGATCCTGTTGGTTCTCAGATATCTGCACTGTAAGGTGGCATTGCATCAGTAGTGGCTGGAGAGTCTAGCACAACATTAGGAAAGAGCTGTAACTTTCCTTCCTTAAGCAACTGGAATGGCAAAATGTGTTCCATAAACTTAACATCCCTGCTAACAAAGAAAGAGTTAGTTAAAATGTTATACATCCTGTAACCCTTCTGGGATGAAGAGTATCTCATCAACACAGCTCCAATTGATCTAGCTGCAAACTTGTCTCCTTCTCCTACTGCCTTGGCAAAACATAGACACCTTATTGTTCTCATATGCTGCAGAGATCGTGTTCTCCCATAAAACACCTCAAAGGATGATTCTCCTAATAACACTTATAGAGGCAGTCTGTTTATCACATAAATAGTTGCTTGTACACATTCCCCCCAAAACTTGAGAGGCAAAAACCCTTGCAATCTGATGGCTTTAGTCATTTTCAATATGTGCCTTTGCTTTCTTTCCACTACCCCATTTTGTTGTGGGGTGTGAACACAACAACTTTGGTGGATCATTCCATAAGACTAAAACAAACCATTGCATTCAGAATTAAAAAATTCAGATCCATTATCACTCCTCAAAATTTTCACAGTCACATCAAATTGAGTCTTTATTAAGGCTAGAAATTGTCTCAAACATCAATCACATCACTCTTAAGCCTCAGCAAGTAAATCCATGTCATTCTACTACAATCATCTACTATAGTAAGCAAAAAATCTATGTCCACTATGAGTTTGTACTCTATAAGGACCCCAGACATCAACATGAATCAACTGAAAAGGTTTATTTGATCTGTTTATACTCTTAGGGAAAGGCAATCTGCCTTGTCTAGCCAAAGGACAGATTGTGCGTTCCTTTATTCCGTCACTACTGGCTTTGAACTTCATGTTTGGAATCTGTTTCATCACTCTATCTGGAGCATGCCCAAGCCTTCCATGCCATACTTTCAAATCCTCCTCTTGCTTAGAATGATCCTGAAGGTGTACAGCTGCAGCCCTGGCTTCAAGTTTCTGATGATGCAAGTTGTATAAATCCTCCAGCTCCTTACCAATCCCCTTCACCTTCCCAGTTCTCACTATGAAGGTCTGCATTATCCAAAAATCAGGATAGAAGGATATAAAGCATCTTAAGTCCCTTGTAAGCTTGGACACAGATAGCAAGTTATATTTAAAGTTTGGAATATACAGAACATTCTCAACAACACTGTTTTCGCCAATTCTACTTCTCATGTACATTCAACATCAAGCGAGGTCCCATAAGATAAGTATACTTTTTGTGCATTGGCTAAACTACCTGTGTTTATCTTGTCAAGCAGCTCTCTAGTGTGAACCATATGATTGGTTGCACCAGAGTCTACTATCCAATTCTCATTTTTAACTGTTTCATTTGTGACATAAGTCTTTGTTGTACCTACAAAGCCTTTTGTGTTTTCACTTGTGTCCTTGTTGATCAACTTGAAGATCTGATCATATTGCTCCTGAGTGAACATGATTGGCCTTCCTTGTGCTAGATTGGCAGTAGGTGTGTTCATCATCTGTTGTCCTTCTTGTGAAGCTACATTGTCCATTTGCTTTGTTATTGACTGGTGTCCCTCTTGTGTAGTTGCATCAGCCATAGGTCTTTGAGGAAAACCTCTTGTTTGAGGAAAACCTGTTGCTTTCTTCCTCATTTTGAAGTCAGTTGGGTATCCATGTAGTTTGAAGAAGGTATCTCTTGTGTTCCCTTTATAGTTACAGTAGTCACAGAACAAACTCCCTCTCCTAACTTATAGTTATTTCCTGAGTTCATTCCTTTGTTGGTGAACAATGTTGTTCCATCTGCTATGTTTACAACCTGGGAAAACATTCCTAAAGCTCTTCGGCTTTCTTCTGAGATTATCATAGAAGAAGCCTTGTTGACTGTGGGCACTGCACTCATCATCAAAATCTGGCTTCTAGGATGGCTATACGTCTCATTCAGCCCCATTAGGAATTGCAACAACCTTTGGTACTCAAAATGTTCGAAATAGTTCTTAGATTCTGGGCAATCACACCCAGGGCAAGGCATCAAGGCATCATAATCCTCCCAAAGGTCTGTCAACTTAGAGAAATATGCAGACATTGAGGAAATTCCTTACGCGACAAAAAAGCAATTTCTTTGTGCAAGAAGAAGATGCGAGATCCATCGATTTTATCATACTTATCCTTCAAATCTGTCCAGACTTTATGAGCATTGGACTTATCCACAATTCCACTGGGTAACTTCTTACTCACAACATTCATAATCCATGACAAAACTATCGCATTACATTTCTCCCAAAGTTCATGCAAGGATTGATCAAATTTGTCCTTAGTACATCGGCCATCAACAAAAGCTAGCTTACTCATACCAATTAGACCTATTTTCATAGATCTACTCCACAATGCATAATTTTCAGTCCAAGTCAGTTGAATAGAAATCAAGGAACTACCTGGAATGTCGTAAGGCTGTAGATAATAAGGATGGTGATGAGCTATGGTCGTTCTTGTGCTCGTTCCAGTTGAAGTTTCTTCTCCAACTGCCATAGCTGACATATTCAGTTGAATTTGCTCTTCGCTTCAATGAATTACAGACTCGCTAGTTGCTAGTCGAAAGAAAACAAAAACTAGCTTAATCGATAGAGAAAAGCTCGAACAATCAGCAGAACATCTCTACAAAATACAAAGGAGATCGATCACAACGAGCATGTATCTAGCTCCCGTGCTCTGATACCATGATGAAGGTCGGATATTAGCTAGATTGAAAAGAGAGAAGAGAAACTAACCAGAAGGTTCTAGAACACAGGCTCCATAGGAGAGCAAATGAGCTGGAAAATTATTCTCTCTAATCTAACTGAATACAATGACTTGTGTCTAATATATATACACTACAACTAACAGCTAATCTAATCAATCTTACTACTTCTGCTAATTCACTAACAACCAATCCCATAATTAGTTATAACTAACTTCCTAACTAATGTCCTAACTAACCCACTAATTCACGTGATAGTCACGTGCTGCTTCTCTCTTCAATATATTCTGCAACCATGATTAAGCTTGTATTTTTTTGGTTTATTCCGTCACAGTATGCAAATTCTGGATTTTTTCAGGTTCTCTAATATAACAGATTAGTCTAATTTGGCGTGGTTGGATATGAAGTGGAGTAATAAAAATCATTTTGACATAAGAACTGGATTTTATTTAATCGGAGCATTAAGAAAGACATAACACTCTAGGACTGGAAGACATACGAACATCAAAATATGAAGCACGAACATAAAATGCAGATCAAAAGTCCCAGAGATGAGTATCAAAAATCGTCAGAAGAAAACCTAAGCATTTCAGAATATCTGAGTTCTAATCGCTACCTAGATGAACAGGAAAGCAGACGGGTTATTAGATTTATCAAGAAGAAACTCCAATAATCTTTCCATATCAGTGAGTAGAAATTAATGAGAGACGACCCAAAAGTCTCTCTTTATTTTGATACCTTCATTGTGAGAGACAAAATGAAGCGAGATACAAAAGGTTTAGATTGTATCTGTTATTTGATAAAAAAATTTACCTAATATATCACTTGAATGACCGGTAATTAAAAAACTAAATATTTTAGTCAGTGGGGCGGCCACATCAAATGTTCTTCCAACGAGGAAGGTGCGTGATAACATAATGGGGAGGATTGGTTCGACAAGGGGGTAAAGATATACAAATAATCGAGTCGGGAATGCATAGTTTGAGAGTATACTAAATAAGACGTGACAAGTTTAGGAGGATCCTTAGGTATTTTGCCTTAAACCAATGGGTAGGACTTGGGAGTTGGAAGAAGAGTTCGACTACTCGTATAGCCCAAACGAGCATTACAATCAAAGTTATAACAGTCAAATAATACGTGAGTAGCACTGGCGTGTTAATGAGGTTACGGGGCTAGAGCAAGAGCTGCAGGCATATGGGCTTAAACGGCCAAGGAGCAGTTCTAGATTAATGTCATGTAGCACAACTCAATAATTTGATTGGGCTCCGAACCGCATTCTCAAGGAGAACAACCATATAAAAATACGTTAAATCCTAGTTCAAGTCAGTAATGATAAATACGTCGGCATATTTTATTGGGATTTTGACCGCAAGATTTCAAATGACTATACATTTTAATAAGCATAGCAGATGCACAAATTTCACATCTTAGTAATGTTTGCGTTACGTGTATTATTTTGATTCTATTATTTTCGCTATATAAAGATGATTTCATTTCATAAAATTTAAAGACAAGTAAACATGGTCAACCATGTCAAGCAGATGAAACATTAATATATCATAACTGCAATTTACATAATTAACAAGATGCCATTTCCATGAATAGTTAGCATCGGTAAGTTTACCCCAAGCATTACAATAGTAATCATTTGCACGTAAAATATCAAAAACTAGGATTGTCCCATCTCAATGCTCTTTTTTCTTAAACAATCCGTATAAACTTCACCTATATCTCATATTTTTGGTCCTAAACTCGGAAAAAGTAGGAGGGTTATAATCGGTAATTTACGTAAAATTAGTCAATTTATGATTAAGTTAATGAGAAGTTATATGGTTGATTCAACTTGTGTAGAATTATCGTCATATTGATTTTGTTGAATTCAGTGATGAACGCAAATTCAGTGTGTGTGTGCGCAATTGATCGAGTGAGTAGAAGAGAGAATTGGTACAGAGGAAATGAGCTGTAACAGAGTTGCAGAAGGAAAAATGATCTCTCTTACATTTACAATATGAGATACAAGTATTTATATATAATTGACTAACTATGGTTTATGATGTGTGGCTCTAATTCCATAGTTTCGTACATTATTTGCCTTGCAATTTATATGCTTTAATGATAAATTACACTTTATTTGCGCGTAATGGAGTCTATTTTATGTGTAGGTGAATTGGAGATGAAGTAGAGCAAAAGGGATACTTAAATGTTGAAGTGCTCGAGAACAGTGAAAAGGAGAAAGCTGGCGAAGCCAAGCCTATAGCAGGCATTATACCTGGCGATGCCAGGCCTTTAGCTCGCGTTGGAGCTGGCGACACCAGGCCTGGGGCGAGCTCAAGCTGGAGGTAGACCTCGCGGGGCCAGGTCCGGGGCACGGACATTCCGAGCTTTGAAGGCTTATTTTGTCTCCTGGTTTGACTAGGACTTGTCCTACACGTTTAGGTTTTTTCCTACACATATAAATAGACCTAAAAATGCCACTTTTGACGGGGATTTGGACAGCAAGAGACAGACATTAGACCAGGTGATTCGACCTAAGGAGGCAAGAACACACTAGGAGCAAGCCGGAGAATTCTTCTACGAGTTTTTCACTTCCTTCTTCCTATTTCCATTATTGGTTATGAATTCTAGTATTGTAGTTATGCATACTATTATGAACAGCTAAGTTGTTATCTAGGGTTTTGATGGAACCTATTGGAGGATGATTTTCCTATTACGTTAATATAGATTTGCTGTAGCTTTTTCTTTATTTGTTCAACTACGTTTATATTGTGGTTGATTGAAGAGCTCTCAATCGACTGTGCCTATTTAGTGTGTATTACTCGGGAGAGAGTGCATATTTAGGTAGTTGTTGAACAACATCACTCCTAACGTACATGAGGGATCAATACGGAGGTTTTAAAGGTGAGATTAGGGATAACAAAACCTTGGTGCGATCCGAGTGAGCCGTACTTAATGCCAGCTAGCGTAATTCGGGAGAATATGTCTAGTAAATTGTGGCAGTTAATCGGGACAGAATTACAACACTCAGAGCGCTCAGGATCGGTAGAGAAAACTTAAAAAAATTTATAGAAAACGTAGCGGAAAGGATTCCGACAATAGGGGAAATCATAATTCTAGACCTCCGTAATCTTTTCTCCAATCCTTATCCTTGTTAATTGATAGTTTTACTGCTTTCTAATATTTTTTAGTTAATTAGATAAAAATAAATATTATAATCTTTATAATTAGCAAATTATTTGGACTTGTGTTTCTTAGCGATATTGAACAACTGTAGCTAAGCATTAGTTCTCTGTGGGATTCGACTCAGGACTTGTAAACCGGATTATATTTACAACGACCGTTTAGTCCTTCTTATAAGGCATAGTTGGGCGTGATCAAATTTTGGCGTCGTTTCCGGGGAACTAACGGTGTAGTTGTAGGTGTACGTATTGCTAGGTTGCAAGTTTGAACTTTTATTTTATTTTTTTATTTATTTATTTTTTTAATTTTTGTTTTATTTGTTGATTTGAGAAACATGGCATCTTGGAATTATGAGAGTTTTGATGTTGGAAATTCTACTATTTATCTTCCTAATGCTTATTGTGGAGGAAACCACCCATGGCAAATACTATCAGAATATTCCCAAGAGCGAGTTATGTGCACCAACTCATTCTCATATGTGGAATATGTGTGATATGTGTGGTGGTCAAGATGGTCACTTTCATGGTTGTGCTTATATTTCTTATCTTCCCCCAACCCCTTACTTTGATAGTTCTTCTTTTTCTTATGAAGTTAATAGGAACAAAGAACCCAGGGATGTTGACCTGAAAGAGATCAGGGATATGTTAAAGTATCTTGTGGAACACAATAGTAAAAGACAGATGCAGATAGAAAGGCAAGAGAAAACTATTCACAACCTCGAGGCACAAGCGAGTCAACTAGTTGAAGCATTTAATGCTCAACAAGCCAATATTGTGGATAGTATCCAAGAAGAGTGTGAATTAGATACAGGAATTGAGGTTCTAATGGAGGAGGTCAGAGTAGAACACCAACAATAATCGAACAAGATTTTGAGGATATCGATGTTGTAGAAGAGATACTAGAGTCAACTAAGGATATTGAGGATACATATTTAATTGACTCTATTGTCATTGGTGTTGAGGATGTTGAAAATCCCAATGTTTATGTAGTTGAGCGCATTGGTCCACACTCCAAGCATTTTTTCACATTGTGTTTGGATGATGACATGGAAATACAGTCGTCCGAGCCACTTGAGGAGTCAAGGGATGAGGAACAAGGTGCCTACATTCTGGAATTTTTCTTGCCAGAAAATCAGGATTACACACCTCATGTTAAAGCCAAGAAGAGCAGAAATGCTACATTGGTTGCTTGGGCCAGATAGATTTGTTCCTCCATCCCTGGAGCATAGCCGAAAACTTAATGCCAAATTGGGGGTTCAATTCATAAGCTCGAGGTAGAGGCAAAAACTGATTCGCATCGTGTCGCGACGTTAAATCAAACGCTTGTTGGGAGCAACCCAGCTTTACTGCTTCTTTTATTTTTTTATTAATTTTTTAATTATATTATTTTTGTAGTGTCGATTTATGATTTTCTAGGAGCATGGAAAGCAATGCTATTGGAAGGATGCAACAGCAAACCAGATTGTTGGAACTAAGTGTGAGGTACCCTCACGAAGGACCAAGCCTAGGAGAAGTCTGAGTACCCCATGAGCTGCTAGTGCTTCGGCCTTTGGCCTACTAGGGAGTTTCTTTTACCCTCTTATTAGTTATGGTGTGCATTGGGGACAACGCACAAT